ATGATTTTAAATTACGAATGTAATGTTACGATGACGGTAAAAATCATTATGATATAATTGTCGGTCGTAATTTAATATTGGGTAAAGTACACAAATTGTCACTCGGTTATAGGATACTGCTTTTTTAAGTTCGTCGATTATTAAAAATAATATAAATTGATCCTTTGACTATATAATATTGTTTTATTGAGTCCCTCGACTATTAAAAGTTACAAAATTATCACTCGTCTATTAAAAGTTACAAAAGTTAGCAATTTAATGTTAAATCCATAAATACCATCATTTTTTAAACAGAAAATGACGATTTTAGAACATATTAAATAGTCGAGTGACCATTTTGTAACTTTTAATAGTCGAGGGACTCAACAAAGTAACACTCTATAGTCGAATGACTATTTTATAACTTTTAATAGTCGAATGACTTATTAAAACTATATCCTATAATAAGAGGACTATTTGTGTACTTTACTCTTTAATATTGTAGTACAAAATATTGATGGTTTTCTCTATATTCATGGAAATTATGATGCAAAAGCAAAACAGTGTGAAGAGTAAGAGTAGGAATATTGTAAGATTTTTAGGTTATATATGGTTTTACCCTAGTTTGGAGAAGTCTATGAAAGTCCATTTTTATTACAAACTTTTTAGGATAATTACGTTAAACGTCCCCAAAGTATAACTTAAATTCTAAAATAGTACCAAACTTCAAATAGTTTTTTGCTCAAATCCTCAAAGTATTATATCTAACAAGAGACCATGGCATGGTAAAATTATTATTAAGTCCCTCCAAAATAAGTTAAAGCATGATAAAGTTGCATTTTGCTACCTTATATAATAAAATTATGGTGTAATCTTTCTAAAACTTGTAAAGTTATAAGCTAATACGTGATAAAGTTGAATTTCACATCTCATAAAATGGTAAATTACGTATTTAGTACTTAAACTATCATTTTTAAAATGTTTTAGTACCTAAACTTTAATTTTTTCCAAAAAATTCCTAAAGTTTAGTTTTTGTTTCATTTTAGTGCCCCCATTCAAAATTTAACGTTAAATTTTGAATTTTTTTGAAAGTTTAGGTACTAAAATAGACCAAAACTGATAGTTTAGATATTAAACGCATTAAGTTTTTAACGGTGTGGTACTAAAATGAAACAAAAACTAAACGTTAGGTATGATTTTGAAAAAATATTAAAAGTTTAGGTACTAAAACCGACAAAATCTAATTGTTTAAGTACTAATTGCATAGTTTACCCTATAAAAATTGTAATTTAATTTTATGTTCTGTAAATTTTATCATATTTGCCCATGAATCTAACGTGCAGCATATTTAAATCCCGCTGGGATCCAAGGGTCTTTACGCCAAAAATTTTGTAAAACTCCTATTAGGGACCCTTTAGAAATGATAAAATTATAAGTTAATAAAATAGTAAAAATTTCATTTTGGCCCCAAGAAAATCATGATTCAATTATGACCCCTAACTTCTTTTTTGACTTCACCTTGGCCTCTCAAATGCCAATGATATCGTTTTTAACGCTTCGGATTTAATTACACAAATAGTCCCTTAAATATAAGATACTACTTTATTAAGTCCCTTGACTATTAAAAATTAAAAAATAATCCTTCAACTATAGAAGGTTGCTTTGTTAAGTCCCTCAACTATTAAAAGTTATGAAATGGTCACTGACTATTCATTATGTTCCAAACTCGTCCTTTTTCGTTAAAAAAATTTACAATTTTTTAAGTTGGATGTTAACATGATGACTAGGATATGATAGTCATTTGAGATTCTAGGATCGAGTTTTATCGTATCACAGTCAACAAATTAACATTCAGCTCAGAATATTTGTTCATTTTTAGTGAAAAAGGACAAGTTTGGAACATATTTCATAGTCGGGTGACTATTTTGTAACTTTTAATAGTAAAGGAACTCAATAAAGCAACATTCTATAGTTAGAGGACTATTTTATAACTTTTAATAGTCAGAGGACTTAATAAAATAATATACTATAGTCGAGGGACAATGTGTGTATTGTACCCTATATTTTAATATAATTGACGTCAGATTCAAACAAGTATTTAACACCCAATTTAACGTTAAACTAATAGAAAACTTAGTGGATATTAGTTTGAATAGTACTCCATTAATACAATTTGAAGTTTAAAGCCTAATTTTGAATAAAGTCATAAATTTGAAATATGTGATACAATTAATCCATGGGAAATTACCAAAATTTGGATAAACATGGTGTTTCCTTTACGAGTAACAGTTTCATTTTGGCCCTGGTGGGGACCGGACAATTAGAAGTACGATGATGGACAGTGACGGTTTTGTCTTGTAAGTGAGTAAAGGTTGGCCATTTAGAACCCACAGTTAATCATCCACGTGGCAACATATGGGATACTAGAAAAAGACCACTCCTAAGTTAACAATCATTTTCTGTAATAATTTGCTTCATCATCGTCGTCTTCACCAACACACAATCAAATTTGTAGTAACAACTGTTGAAAGGAAATTAGTTGCAGAGAGGAAATGATTAAAACTAGAGGGACTAAATTCCAAGCTAACCCAAACGTAGAGGGAGTAAAAAACAAAATTAGACCAAAACGATCAAGTAGATTTACATTTACTGCTTTTGCAATAATATCCTCTTTGATGTCTGTCCCTAGTGTTGGAAAACATCTATATAGTTGGTGACTTAGAGTTATCAAGAGATGTCCCTGCAATATTAGTATAATGGACCAACACCGAGGACCTTGAAGAATGAAGACCCTTCACTCAAATTCACCATTCAAATGCACCCAAAGCTTTGATTCGAATCAATGAATCAATTTGATTGCAGAAGTTTGAAACGTTTCGGTTTATCTAAGCTCGGAACTCATCGTCTGTAATCTCGACTCCTAACGAAGCGAAAATGACTACACCGCGAAGAACTATTGCGGAAGTTAAGCGAATCTTAAAAGTCTACGAGAAATGTGCATTGAAGATGAGACCTAGAGACATTGCAAGCTGGCAATGACCAAGCCTAGTTTGGTACGTAGGGGAAACGACTCTGCTAAGCTTTTAAGGCTAAGTTCAATGCTTCAAGTACATGATGAAAACGAATCATCAATGTTAACTTGAGCCCTGTGATGTCTTTGATGTCGAAAGTGCATCGTAATTCAAAACAAAGGCGTCGAAAAATACGTATTTCGTACACGATTTCGCAACTTCTACATTGCACTTTTTCGAGTTTATTTGTAAAGGTCGGGCAGAATGCTTCGTATCAGACAAAACAGAACCACGTGGAACTTTAACTATGCTGCACAACTATATATAGGTGTAGGTACCAAAGGTGTCATTTTAACACTATTTTGATTGCAGTCTAAGTCTAATACGTGTATACAATCAGTGGGGTTAGCTCGGACCAAGAAAATGCTCTGCGGATGCCTTTTGTCGAGAATTTGGGATCCGTCTGCGACGAAGATTGTTGCGAAAGGCCATTGCAGTATACGTAGGGGAACCAGCAAGAGGAGGTTCATGATTCCTATTGCTTACTTGAACCATCCTCTATTCAAAGGCCTGTTGAATATGGCCGAGGAAGAATTCGGATTCGACCATCCGATGGGCGGTCTCACGATTCCGTGCAGCGAAGAGTATTTCATCGGTATTTCGAAAATGTTGAAATTTTCATAGACGGTGACCATAGGTCATGTAACTGTGCTATGTTGTTTTAGCACACTTGCAGATACTGCCCCATGCTGAAATATTCATTGGCTATCTGTAAATAAACACTTCTAGGTAAAATTGTGCTAATTAACCCTTCGCTGACAACAAAACACGTTACTTAGCACAATAAAGAATACATACATACATACATGCATGTGGTGTTTCAATATTTTCAAGTAACAGAACAAAGAGGGAGACAGATTACATATATCCTTTTTTGTCACTTTGCAATTTGCATGCATGAAGACATCGACATGTACTTCTGATTTTTCCAGTAGGATATTGTAATATCATCGAAACTTGTGCCTAAAGGGGACCCGCAAAGCTACTAATTTTAGTATATCAGCCCACTGGTTTTCCAGTTCATCTCTGATGTTTTCTTCGTCGCATGGTCTTCCTACGGTAGAGTGTTGTTTTGTTGATACCTTTGACTATTAAAAGTTATAAATGATCATCCGATTATTCATTATGTTCCAAACTCGTCTTTTTTTTATTAAAAAATTGAAGGTATTCTGAGCTGAACGTTAACATGTTGACTGTGATATGATAAAATATGATCACAGATTCTCATATGACTATCATATCTAGTCATCATGTTAATATCCATCTTAGACAACCGACAATGTTTTTTAATGAAAAAAGGATGAGTTTGGAACATAATGAATAGTCAGATGACCATTTTGTAGCTTTTAATAATTGAAGGACTTAACAAAGTAACATTTTATAGTTGAAGGACTATTTTATAACTTTTAATGATCGAGAGACTTAATAGTATCCTATAGTCGAGAGACCATTTGTGTACTTTACCCAATTAAAAATTAATAGATTGATTCTTATTTGATTAGTGTGATTGTTATTATAAAATTTAAGAAGACATGAGTTTTAAGCACATTTAACTTTATAATATTTTTTTTATTAAAATATCATTTTATTTGAACATATAATGTTTTGTACTTATTTTAGATTATAAAAAAATTATAATATTTTTTTAAAATAATGATAATTGAATTTTACTAACAAAATAAATGAAATAATCAAAATTACAACGCATCTAAGTATAAAAAAAAGAACAAGGACAATAATCACCAAAAAAAAAACTTATAACAAAACATTAAACTCAAAGATGCAAAGAAAAAGGAAACTTTCATTTGAGAATAAAGACCAACATCAAAAGAATCTAATAACCTTCATAAAAACTAATTATCTCTGTCGAAGGAAACACTTTATAAAGTGAAGAAGGAGTGGTGAGCGAATCAAACTATATGATAGACACCTTTTTACACAATTATGATTCTACCTGCAAACAACCTTTTATCGTAGAGGAGATCTAACAATAATGGACCATCGATAAACCAATCAGAAAAGAAATGTCGTGAGAGTCTTTGAGCGAGAATCAAAATGATCGTAAAAGTATGCGTAAACGAACTAAATCGTAAGGATCGTGCCACAAGAACAGAGAAAATATGTCACAAAGTTAAAAAAACATAAATCACCAGTAAAAAAATTAATAATCACCGATAATCGAGATCCAACGTTATGATTGATATTGTCGTCGACTAAACAAAAATCTAATAGAAACAAAAAGAAAACATAAAATATTAAAAAAACATAGGTTAAAAAAGGGGAATGTATTATTCTCGAATTTTGAAGATTGTTTTTTCCCCAAGTAAAACATGCACTTGACCATTTGGTCAGTTAGCGGTGCATTTTTCAAGATATTATATACGCCGTGACGTTATTTCTGATTAATGCAATTATGTTTTCCTTTTGAAAATATCAATTATTTAATTGATTTGTTTGAATAGATTGGAGTGATTATAAGATAATATCTGTTCAAAATCATTTTTAATCATTGATAATATATACCTTGCAGATTCAGTTCCATCAGTTACTTGTTCCTCAAGGTACGTTGACTTTACACTTTCTTTGATGTCACTCAACATCTCCTCATCAAGCATTCGATCAATCTCAGCCCGAAAGGTGTCTAATCTGTTGCTGGATTTGAGATGAATTACAGTAAGGCTAACACTTTCATCTTGAGAAATTCGTTTAGCTAAGGCTAGAGCCTCTCTATCATCTTGTCCCCCCATGAAGATCACAGCAATGTTGTAGGACGAGGAGTTATGTGATGATGATGATTTATCTGTGAAATTGAAGCTATTAAGATTGTGGCGTACGTCGACAAGGATACCTACCGAGCAAGGTGCCATTTCAAGGATATGGAAATTCAGATTTCTGATGGTTTGATCTTCAGATTCGGTGCTCCCGTCGATGCACCACCGGTGAAACGGAAGTAGTATAAACGATGTTAGTCGGTCCATGGCAAGCTTACATATATCCTCGTACATAGAATTCGGTGGTGAGACTGCAGTGAAAACTTTCACCGATACAGACTCCAAATAATTTCGCTGGAACTCACTGAAAGCGACGATTGCGTTCTCAGAGTACGAACAGTTCGACTTGGTTTTCGGTAGCGCGTCATGAGCAATGAAAATTGGTGTGGCTCGTCCACGGAGCTTGACTAGGTGAAGAACATCCAGAGCAATGAAGCTGTCTCTGGTTAGACAGCAGGCATGCAGTAGGCTGATAATAGAGTTAACATTGTCCGGTACGTGAATGCAACTGATCATCCGCAGCTCCTGGTTGAGTTTGGTATTCATGATGGTCCTTTTCTGAAAGCATAAATACTTCCTAGATGGATCATAAAGCCTTTTCACAAGTATTGGCACAATGCTTGACACTAGAATGATCATAATCGTCAAGTAACAAAACATTTCATCCGACATAATCTGCGATTGTTCAAAGAGAGAACAAAAACAATATAGCGTTAGGCATATTTTTTAGACCTATGTTGCTGATGTAAAACCCATTTTGTTCATTTAGTATTTTCGTATATGCTAAATAGTTGGCGTAATATGTGTCACGTAATCAATTTAGCACAACTAAAAATGTTAAATCAGCAACATATATTAATCGTTAGTGAATTAAAAATATTCATCCAACATGAGTTATTTTGTCCAAAAATTGAAACGTGATCATAAGCATATAAAGAAGAAGACACATACTGTCATGTCTTTCATGTTGCTGTAGGAAGCAATCTCAACGATGCCTTTGGATATCATGATAAGAGAAAATGCTAAAGAATCCTTTATGGGCATCTTGCAGAACATGGTCAGCACCAAAGAGACCCCAAATTTGACAAAAAGTGTGACCGCGGCTCCAACCACATGGTCCTTGGTGTACTGGGAAGGGTCTCTAATGTCAGATAGATTGAACCTCATGCCGGATGTTGCAAGGAACACAGGCAAAAATAGTTCCGAACTAACAGGGTCTAGCTTCTCGACTAGAGAAGAACCCAAAGGTGGTCCCTCCGGTACAGCCAAACCAAGAATGATCGGACCATATTTGGTTTGTAAACCAATCGTTCCGGCAAGCAAAGGTGCCACCATGAAGGCCACAACGATGACATAGAACCATACATCTTTTATACGGCCAGTCTCGGTCGTGTGGTTCGCCATCCATTTCATCGCAGGTCGTAGCACAAACGCTGCAATTACAGTAACAAACATTGTAACTCCCATATGAAATAGAACCCCTTCTGTTCGTTGTTGAAACAACTTGTTCAACCAGATGCCAAACAGCGTAATAACTATTGTCATCATGTCACCAATAAGCGCAGCCGCTAATCCTAGCCTACCGAGTTCCGAATTCAGGATTCTCAACTCCATGAGAAGGTCATGTATGACGGGGAACGAAATCCCGGCATACGTCGTCGCAAGAAAGTAAGTTATGTGAATCATATAGACACCAGTTTGACGAGTCGTAACCGTTATCAAACAAGATATGATAGGCACAATGACGGTGATGTTGGGGAAATCGAGTTATTTCCCACACGAACGTAGTTTCAAAATTGACCTAAAATGTCAAGATCAAAACCACCAAAGGTTGCACAGCGGATAAATCTGTCAAAATATTGAATATTGAAACACAATGGAAAAAACCGAATAAAAACAATAAAGGAGAGAACACACCAAATTTACGAGGTTCGATGAGAATATCGTCTACTCCTCGGGCACCACACCGGATGATAACTTCACTATATCGCCAATATTACAACAAATGGAATTCTTTAGAATTCCCAAAGTGGGAGAATGAAAATACAAGAGGAAGAGAGAACTTGTTTTGGGATGATTTCCAATGAAATACTTAGGCCTATTTATAGTTAGTTTTAAGGACTAAACTTATAAATAACATAATATTTTAGGGATCAAACATGAAAAATAAGTTGGCCACCTACCAAAGAATTTTCCAATGTGTACAAGTTAGCCACCAAATATGAAATTCCCATATTCAAAGTTTGGCCACCAACCAAGATGAAATTTCCAATAAATTGGCCACCAACCAAGATGAAATTTCCAACTTTCCAACTTAATTTCAAGCCAAATCTAACAAATCTCCACATTGGCTTGAAATTACCAAGCCTACTCAATTTCTTCAACTCCCCAAATTTGTTGTGCCTCTAATTGCGCTCACAAGCGCCACACACCCGAAGGTGTTCATACTTTCAGGATGTTAATCAAGTTCAAACAATGATTGAACTTGATTACTGTTACCACCTTGGTCATCATATCTGCAGGATTTTCTGATATCGCAATTTTCTGAAGTAGAATATTTCCTCCTTCAAAGATCTCCCGCACAAAGTGATATCTCACGTCGATATGCTTAGTCCTTGAATGGTGGACTTGATTTTTCGCTAAGTGAATAGCGCTCTGACTATCATAATAGAGACTAATGTGACTTTGAACAACTCCCAAGTCTTCCATCAACCCGTTAAGCCAAATTGTTTCCTTTACAGCCTCTGAAACAGCCATGTATTATGCCTCTGTAGTAGACAAGGCCACCGTATATTGCAATGTAGACTTCCAACTTACTAGGGCTTTAGCAAAAGTAAACAAATACCCAGTAGTTGATCGACGCTTATCCAAATCACCAGCATAATCAGAATCAGCATATCCAACCACACACTGACCAAGTGCTTCATCATGTTCAAAAACTAAACCAACATCCACGGTTTGTTGGAGATACCGTAAAATCCATTTCACAGCTTGCCAATGTCCTTCTCCAGGATCATGCATGTACCTGCTCACAACTCCAACTGCTTGTGAAATGTCATGACACATACACACCATTGCATACATCAAGCTCCCAACTGCATTAGCATATGGAACTTTTGTCATATACTCTCGTTCTCTGTTAGTTTTAGGAGATAACTGAGAACTAAGTTTCAAATGAGAAGCTAGTGGGATACATACATGTTTGGCATTTTCATTCATGTCAAAACATTGTAATACCTTTCTCAAATACTGTTTCTGTGTTAAACAAAGCTTCCCTCTCTATCTATCTCTGCTTATCTCCATACCAAGAATCTTCTTGGCCTCACCTAGATCTTTCATCTCAAACTCTTGATTCAACTGAGCCTTTAATTTATATATCTCCTTTTGACTCTTCGAAGCGATCAACATATCGTCAACGTACAAGAGAAGATAAATGAAAGATCCATCTTTGAGCTTTTTCAAATACACACAATGATCATATTTGCTTCTAGTGTACTTTTGCCTCCTCATAAAACTATCAAATCGCTTGTACCACTGTCTCGGAGATTGCTTCAATCCATATAGCGATTTGTTCAGCTTACAAACCCATTTCTCACAACCACCATCTTTGTATCCTTCTGGCTGAGTCATATAGATCTCCTCTTATAAATCACCGTGCAAGAAAGCCATCTTTACATCAAGTTGAGCTAGCTCCAAATTCAACTGTGCTACCAAGGCCAACAATATTCTAATGGAGGAATGCTTCACAACATGGAAAAATACTTCATTGTAGTCGATTCCCTCCTTTTGAGCATAGCCTTTAGCTACCAACCATTCCTTGTAGAGAACATCTTTCTTGCTATGAGATCCATCTTTCTTTGCAAATACCCACTTGCATCAAATTGCTCTTTTACCTTTCGGTAATTGATCCAGTTTCTAAGTGTTATTCTTTTGGAGAGATTGCATTTCTTCATCAATGACACTTTTCCACTTATCACTTTCCAAGATTTGTATTGCTTCTTGGTAAGTGATAGGGATATGATCATCAACAACTGGAAGGGCATAGGCCACCATATCAACAAATCGAGCAGGTCTACGAATTTCTCTCATTGGCCATGTAACTGCAAGTGGTTCTGGTGTCTCCAATGGTTCTTGGGTTTGAACATCTTCATCTTCTGATTCTTCTATTGGAGTTGAAGAATAAGTTGCATCAACTTCTGGGATCATCGTCTACTGAAACTCCACCTGTTTTGGAGTATGCTCCACATGATGCGGAGTACTACTTGTCTGGACAACTTCATTTGTTACCTTATTTATTAGGGAAGATTCATCAAAGGTAACATCTCTGCTACAAATTATCTTCTTGGTGTCTAAACACCAAAGGCGGAATCCCTTCACTCCATGGGTGATACCCATAAAGAAAGCCTTCTTTGCTCTCGGATCAAGCTTGAATTCCTTCACATGATAATAAGCAGTTGATCCAAATACATGTAAGGAATCATAATCAGTAGCAGGTTTTCAATACCATACATCCAATGGTATTTTTCCTTCTATCGCTGATGACGGCAGACGATTGATGAGATAACCAGCATATGTCACAACCTTAACCCAAAATGCCTTGCCTAACTCAGCATTAGACAACATACATCGAACTTTCTCCAATAGTGTTTGATTCATACGTTCTGACACCCCATTCTGTTGTGGTGTATTTCTAACAATGAAGTGTCGAACAATACCATACTCATGGTAAACGTTAAAGAATGGGTCACTTTTATATTTCCCTCCATTGTCCGTCCTAAGACGTTGGATCTTTCTACCAGTCTGGTTCTCGATCATATTTTTCCATTTCAGGAAAATTCGAAGCACTTCATCTTTAGGCTTCATCAGATACACCCAAACTCTTCTTCTGGAAAAGTCATCTACAAAAGTTACAAAATAATGGTTTCCTCCCAAAGACGATGTCTTTGAAGGACCCCATACATCTGAGTGAATATAAACCACAATACCTTTTATATTATGTATAGTGGTGCCAAACTTCACTCTTTTCTGCTTTCCCAGAACACAATGCTCGCAAAAGTTCAATTTGCAAGCCTTTGCACCTTTCAACAATCCTTTCTTTGCCAGAATTTGCAAGGATTTCTCTCCAGTATGTCCCAACCGCATATGCCACAACTGGGTTGCGCCCAAATTATCACCTCCGGAAGCTGCTGCAACTGCTCCAATAATTGTACTACCTTGGTAGTAATACAAATTATTTTTTCTTATGCCCTTCATCATCACAAGTGCGTCATATGTGACTTTTAAAACTCCATCTCTCATAGTGACTACTGAGCCTTTGGATTCCAAGGCTTCCAACGTGATGCGATTTTTCTTCAAACTGGGCACGTATCGGACATCCGTCAGAACTCTGGTTGATCCATATTGATTCTTTAATCGAATTGAACCTATCCCAACAGTTTTACAGGCATTGTCATTGCCCATATAAACAACTCCTGTATTTAGTTATACTAAATCGGAGAACCACTCCCGATTAGGGGACATATGATAGGTGCAACCCGAATCTAATATCTATTCATCTGAATGGAATGTTGTTGATGAAGCAACCAATGATATGTCAGAGTCATTTGCATCATGCTCTGCAACACATGCATCTGGGGCAACTTTTCCTTTCTTCTTCAACTTCGGACAATCTTTCTTTCAATGGCCTTTCTCATGACAAAAGACACACATTCATCTTTTCCTAGTCTGGACTTCAACTTTGATCTCCCTCTCCACTTTGGCTTTTGACTTTTTGAGCGACCTCTTGCCACCATGGCCTCCGCTGCTTTGTACTTGCTCTCCTTCTTGGTTTTCTTCCTAAGCTCATAACTATACAAAGCAGCAGTTACATCTTTAAGGGTAACATTATCCTTACCATGAAGTAACGTTGTCTCAAGGTGCTCAAATTCATCTGGAAGAGATGACAACAACATCAAGGCCAAATCTTCATCTTTGAAGGTTTCATCCATTCCTAATAAGTCTGCTACTAGCTCATTGAACACAGTGATGTGTTCATTCATATTGGTGTCTGATTGATAATCAAATCTGAACAATCTTTTCTGAGAGATTTTCTTTAGGAATTTTTCCTCCAATTCTTTCCACATCTTACTTGCAGAAGTCTCGTTCTTGTAGCCATACTTCTTCTCCCTGGAAAACAAGATCGAATTGTGCTGCGCGCCAAACGATTGATTGTTCCCCATTCTTTCTCCTCCATATATTCGGGCTTTTCTTCCTCAATGGCGATGTCTAGACCTTGTTGGATTAAAGCGTCTAACACCTCGCCTTTCCACATGCCAAAATGACCGGATCCATCGAACAACTCCATCGAGAAATTTGTATTTGACATCATCCTCCTCACCGGTCTGGATGAAGAGCTTGATGTCTCAACTGATCTGTATTTTGGCATTTTAATTCCAACGAACAATATTCAATAGCACGAATTGTATCTTTTCAGCAACAGAACCACCAGGATAACCTCAATCGAAGCTCTGATGCCAATTATTGGGGAAATCAAGTTATTTTCCACACGAACGTAGTTTCAAAATTGACCTAAAATGTCAAGATCAAAACCACCAAAGGTTGCACAGCGGATAAATCTGTCAAACTATTGAATATTAAAACACAATGGAAAAAACCGAATAAAAACAATAAAGGAGAGAACACACCAA